ATTTGTAACTTAAAAATGAAATTGAATGCTAAAAAAATTAGAGGGAGAATAAAATTTAATGCATCACAATAAAATTAAATGCTTGTCTTGCCAAATTATATATTTATAGATTTGCAAGGCCGCCGACGAATTTACAAAGTTGGTGTTAATATTTTATTGTAAATATAAAGTTGTTTTTATGTTGCTTGAAAGGTGTTATATTGTTGTTTTGTCGTTACTCCAATATCATGTTTGTTGTTTTATATGATCTCCATTTGAGCCGACATAATCGGAATGGAAGAAAAGCCAGGAAACACTCAAGTGAAGTATCACAAACCTTTCGACCATAATCGTATTCAGTTTGAAATTGAATTCTGCCCTCTTCATCAACTATTCATCGCTTCGTGCAGTGCTTCTTTCGGAGTTAAACTCCCATTTGTCCATATTTCGAGAAACAAGATCTCTTTTTTTTTTTCATTCCCACTCCCATAGCGTAGCGGAAGGTATTAGGCTCGACCATTGACCTGCTTTTGGGGAAATTACCCAAAGACAAACTTCATCTTCTGCTGTTGCATTCTTCATCTCTTGTTTGTTATAGGCCAAAATACGTTCAGGATTGGCGACTTTGGAAACGCGTATAGAAAAAAAGAGCAGCATCTATCATCTCCATCTCAATCTCACATGCTTCGTTCGTTGGTATTTCCTTTCTACACTTTACTTAGGATTGAAAAGATTGAAACCATAGGCCTTGCGTTAGTGTTCCTATCCTTTATTGGAGCTACCAATTTCCACAAAACCCTATTGTTTTCATTACAAAACCAATCAACCAGAAAAAGATGGATTATTTTGTGAAAGAATTTTTGGGCCTATCAAAAGTGGCAAGCTCATCTGGGCTCGGCCTCTGTCGGACAGGCTCCGAACTCATGCTTGATTCTCTGCTTGCTTTCACCCGCTTTCTTTCGCCGGTAGTGTGAATCTTCCGAAAGCGCACAACATATTCCAGTCGGTGTAGCCAGGGCATCATGAAGTAAGCTACGACTGCAGCTAGCGGATGAAGACAAGGTTGTAAACCGGTCTGTAATCCAAGACTGTAGCTAAGAAGAGCATGAGGAATGATATGACTCATGCGATAAGAGCTAAGAATGGAAGAGATGAGCCCTTTCGAAGGGCGATTGAGCTACTTTTCTTTCTTGTTTTCCTTGTTTTTGCCTTCTTTCATTTTTCGAGAATAGGCTTTGTTACGGGATAATACAAATACCTATAGTAGGAGCTTCCCTTCCCGAACCTTTTTGGTAGTTGCCAGTGATCCTCTTGGAGTGGAGTGCCTTGGTGGAAAAAAGGTTTTCCTTTTTGCGAGTCTTTCAAGGAAGCTAGCCTATCGATCTAATTTGAGTGCCCTTTAAAAAGAGCATCCAATTTTCTCTAAGCAGAAGACTCGGTGTAATTGACCTCACGCTATTCTCATTGAACGAGTAGTTGCTAGTCTTCCTCCATCCCTTTTTACTTCCTCCATCCCTTTTTACTTCCTTAGAGCCTTCTACTCTTTCTATGCATATGTTGTTCTCGAAAAGAGGGCATCTCCTTTCAATACCAGTTATCGGCACTCTCCTTTGAGAAAGCAAATTCTCAATCCAAGTAAGAGTCTTTCAAGCCATCAGTCGTAGAGGGATAATCCCTTCCAGTTGCAGTGGGAGTTGGACTTTCTGGAATTACATCATACATTTGAGAAAGTCTAGTTGTGTTTTATATTGTAAGGTGAGGGTCGACGTAGTTGAGTCCAATTCTCGTTCTCGCTTGTGGCAGACTTATTGGGAGTCTCTTCTCTTTTTATTCCCTCATAAAGCGCTACTCTCGTATCAGATCAGCTCTTCGCTTAATTACTACAGAGTTAACAATCTAAAAAGCGAAGAATGACATAACTTTACTAATGAGAGGGATCGAATATTAAGTTTTCGGTTTGCATAATGAAATTCCTATGAAAGGATACGTAGGTGGAACTTCACTACCTTACTCCTACTATTAGCCCATTCACTACTCAAATAACAATCCTTTTTAGCTAATTAATTTGATATGTATATAATCTATTAATCAATCTTTATTTTTTATGTATTTCTTTTTTTTTTTTTCCTTTTTTATGCATTCAAATTGAAAAAGAAGAAAAAAAAAGAGAGAGAAAAAGAAAAGAGAGAAGAAAAAAACAGTTTAAGTTTTGAAATTTTATATGTATCTTTTATTCATTATCCCGTTTTCTTTTTATTTTGACGGGTTTAAATTGACAATTTGTAAACTGTTATAAGAATCAAGCATGTACGAATTCCTTTCAATCTATAATGCTTTTACATAATATTTTTATTTGTGTTGGTCAAATTAAAATTACCCCAAAGAATCTTGTGCATGTTATTCATCCTATCTTGCTTCTTTCATATAGTAAATCAACAATCTCTTTAGCAAAGAATCTAGTGCATCATGAGAGGACCAAATATATAGAAATATATTGTTATTTGATGACAAAAAAATTGTCCAATGGTGTCATCAATCTCCTTATGTGCCGCACCGGACCAAGTTTTAGATATTTTAACCAAATTACTTCATCCACAATATTTTCACAAATGCTTCTAAAATGAATATTCTTAGGCTATGTTTCGTAAAACTAGCTGATAAGCTAGTTTATAGCTTATCAGTAATTTTTAGCTTACAACTTATAGCTTATGACTTATAGCTGATAAGCTAACTTAAATGATAAAAGTGTTTGAAAAAATTAGCTGATAAGCTAACTAAAATAAAAAATTCAACTAGCTTATTTGAAAAGCTACTTAAGGAAACTTATCAAATAAGCTCGAGCATTTTAAAATAGTTTGTCCTACCAAACGAGGCTTATTTGAATACAGAGAACTTATAAGCTAACCAAATAAGCAATAAGCAAGCTTATTTATCTACCAAACATATCCTTAATATTCATGTCCTCCTGCGGAGATATTAGATTGTAATCTATACTTATATCTTTGTAATAGTGTGTATTAAGTAAAACACGTTTTTAGCATGTACGTTAACATCTTATACTTTTACTATAAATAAGGTATTTCTCTCTAAAGAACATTCAAGCTTTCCTTTTATTGTTGATTCAATGATATATAAAACTAGTATTCATCTTGTGCACATGCACAGATGTACATAAAATATTATAAGTAATATGTGTGAATTTAATATTAAAATTATAGACAATAAACATATCACATTTTCAAGATATGTGAATTTAATATTAAAATTCTAGACAATGGACATACCACATTTTCAAGATTTAATCAT